GATGCGGGGCTCGATCCTAGGACCCTGGGATCATGACCTGCGCCGAAGGCAGACGCTTAACCGACTGAGCCACCCAGGTGCCCTGTCATGCTATCTCTTTAAGGGCAGAGACTCAGTTTCCTGTCACCCTCTGGGCTCTTCCAGAGCCAAGCCCACTGATTTTTTTAAATTCTAGGCTTTAAGTCCCACTGGCTAGAACTCAGAACATTTGGCCCCTTTCATTTTCAAAGCTAAATGCTATGGGGATGTAGCTCCCCCTTGCAGGCTCCCCAGTGTGATAATCTGCTTCTCACCCCTCCCTGAAACCATGGCTCCCTCCTTCTGGTAGCCAGACCCATGGGGTTTAGCAGCCCCACCATGTCTCTGCCTTTTCTACTCTCCTTGAGCTGGCCTCTTCTCTACATTTAGTCGTGGAGTCTCTTCTGCCAGTCTTTTTTTTTTTTTTTTTAATTATTTATTCATTTTAGTAATGTCTATCCTCTATGTGGGGCTGGAACCCACGAACCTGAGATCAAGAGTCACTCGATCTTCTGACTGAGCCGGCCAGGCGCCACTCTTCAGCCAGTCTTTGGGTTGTTTTCTGGGTTGTTGCACTGATGTGAGTGTTGTCTAGTTCTGTCTGTGAGATGGGATCGATCTAGGGTCCTCCTGCTCTGCCATCTTCTTTCATCTTTGTCAGGAGTCTCCCACTGAGTCTCAAATCCCATCTGTGCTTGAAGAGAATGTTCTCCAATTTTTGACCTAATGTTACATATATGCTTATTAGTGTAAGCTTATTAAATTTACTGTTAAAATTATAAATAGTGTTTTTATTTTAGATTAGGTTGATCTAATAATTACTGAGAGAAAAATTTGTTAAATTTCCCCCAGCGATAGTGGATTTTTTTTCCCATTTCTCCTTGAGGTTCTGTCAACTTGCTATATATATATGTGTGTGTGTGTGTGTGTGTTTTGAAGATACGTTGTTAGGTACATTCAAGTGTAAAAATCATGTCTTTCTGGTGAGTTGAACCTTTTCGTCATGACATAGTGACCCTCCTCATCTCTAATGAATGCTCATTGCCTTCAAGTCGACTTTAGCTGCTCTAACTATAGTTACGCTGGTTCTCTTGGTTATGTCCCATGGCGCTCGAATTATTCATGGTTGGACGTAGAGTTGCGTTTCTCCAGCGAGGGGTTGTCTGCACTTCTGCAGGCTGCCTCGAGGCGTGTTAACCTAGGACCACATTGAGTTACATTCAGCCCTTGAGGTTTTCCTGATTACAGCGATGGCATGAATGCAGGACAGAACATTTGTGGGACTGGTAGTAGTTACCAGTTTTAGGGGGAGATCTATTTCTCCCCTTCTCTGTGCATTGTTAAGATGAAGACCAGTTTCTTTGCTGTCCTTTTTAATAGGTTGGGTTTGTCTCTAGCTGATACTCCTGCCGAGGGTGTAGCTTTCAGTGCAGAGTCTCTTCTGAGATGGGCTGCTTTGGCTGGTTCCTATGCTTCAGCCCACATCTTCGGCATACGAGGCAGCCATCAGAAAATCTCCAGGGGCTTGGGGCAAAGGTTGGCTTCCACATTTGCTTATAACTCTTCAAGTTTCCAGTTTCAATTTGTTTTGGGCCTTTGGAAAATTTTCACTTTCTTGCTAGCGTGGTGATTCATCTAAAAAAATATTTTTGTTATTGTGTCTAGCCTGAAGCTATTTCTGTTGGGAGGACAACTCTGGTGCTCTTGTAAATTAAAAAGTGGATGTATCCATAGATTCTTTCTTATAAATACACTAAAATCGGGTTTTGCTTGGTTGTGGTTTCTGTCCGGTATAGTCTAAGGCTTAAGAAATGAAGACAGAAGATCTTAGCATTAATCTTATGTGTGCTACTCTTCTTCCAACTGAAATGAGCAGCTGTCAACCAAAAGCCTGACTTAGAATTCTTTTTACCATCTTACACTGTTTACTCTAAAACCAGGGATGGGGGTGAGGAGCTATTTTTGGTGTTTTAAAAATAATAACTTTGGGGGCACTTGGGTGGCTTAGTTGGTTAAGCATCTGACTCTTGATTTCAGCTCAGGTCCTGATCTCAGGGTCATGAGATCGAGCCTTGCATCGGGTTCCACGCTGCGCATGTAGCTGGCTTGAGATTCTTTCTCTTCCTCTCCCTCTCCCCTCCCTGCTCTCTTTCTCAAAAATTAGTAACTCTTGAGAATAATTCAGTGCTCCAAAGAATTAAAATATATTGCTCCTTGAATGTGAATTCACAGGACTAAACATCCTTTTTATACCTTGGAGTTAGTTTCCTGTCTTTGAACCTTCATAAATATCGGATTAAGCTATCAGTTGTTTGCTCTGAATCTTTGGGAGAATAATTCCATTTTCTGTGCTTTAGTGTCCTCTTAGGTCCGGTGGGAATGTAGTAGTACCAATCACCTAGGCTTTTAGGTAGGATTAAATAAATAGTTCATGGAAAGCACTTTGCATAATGCCTGGCACGTAATAATCATGGAGTAAATGGTTGCTGCTTTTGCTGCCAATATTATCTTCAATTTCAGAATCTTATTTTATTCCATTGCTTTTCTCAGGTATGTGCCCATTGAAGATCTGCTGGAGATTTATAAGAAACTCTATGGCCGAGAAGTAATCACCAAAAATGCAATTATTGACTGTTCATACCTTCAGTTCTTGGAAATGTAGGTGTGACCCAGAGAAAACTTTGTAGTTGACTTGAGTGTGACGTCTTAGTGCACTTGCTGACATTTTAGTCTCCCGAGTTGGATTTTGGGTTTCTGGATTTTTGCTTTTTTCAAAGGCAGTTGCATCATGGTAGATATATGTAGATGGAGCTTGGTTTTTATTTGCTTCACTTCTTTGTACAAACACAACTCAACAGGCAAAATTTTTGTTCATGTTGCAGGTATGGTGAGATGTTAGCTATTTCCAAGGTAAAGGCTTCATTCTTCAAAATCTTCATTTAAAGGATTATAAAGTTACCAGAAAAAGCACTTATTAATGAGTTTTCTTTTTCTGTGCCATAGCTTTATTCCACTTACTCCAGAAAGTCTCCATTTTTGGTGGAACAATTCCAAGAATATTTCCTGGGGGGACTGGATGACATGGCTTTTTGGTCCACTAATATTTACCGTCTGACGAGCTTCATGTTAGAGAACGGGACCAGGTGAGACCCTGCCCCACTTCCTCTACCACTCACTCCTGCCCTGTCCCTCCCTCTCCTGGTGCCGCTGTCAGGTTTTCACTTGATCAGATGAAAAGGTCTCACGAAGTGCCAGCCTCTCCTAACCAAGGAGGAAAAGAATGGAAATTCTTGTCAACTTGCTATATATATGTGTGTGTGTGTGTGTGTGTGTTTTGAAGATACGTTGTTAGGTACATTCAAGTGTAAAAATCATGTCTTTCTGGTGAGTTGAACCTTTTCGTCATGACATAGTGACCCTCCTCATCTCTAATGAATGCTCATTGCCTTCAAGTCGACTTTAGCTGCTCTAACTATAGTTACGCTGGTTCTCTTGGTTATGTCCCATGGCGCTCGAATTATTCATGGTTGGACGTAGAGTTGCGTTTCTCCAGCGAGGGGTTGTCTGCACTTCTGCAGGCTGCCTCGAGGCGTGTTAACCTAGGACCACATTGAGTTACATTCAGCCCTTGAGGTTTTCCTGATTACAGCGATGGCATGAATGCAGGACAGAACATTTGTGGGACTGGTAGTAGTTACCAGTTTTAGGGGGAGATCTATTTCTCCCCTTCTCTGTGCATTGTTAAGATGAAGACCAGTTTCTTTGCTGTCCTTTTTAATAGGTTGGGTTTGTCTCTAGCTGATACTCCTGCCGAGGGTGTAGCTTTCAGTGCAGAGTCTCTTCTGAGATGGGCTGCTTTGGCTGGTTCCTATGCTTCAGCCCACATCTTCGGCATACGAGGCAGCCATCAGAAAATCTCCAGGGGCTTGGGGCAAAGGTTGGCTTCCACATTTGCTTATAACTCTTCAAGTTTCCAGTTTCAATTTGTTTTGGGCCTTTGGAAAATTTTCACTTTCTTGCTAGCGTGGTGATTCATCTAAAAAAATATTTTTGTTATTGTGTCTAGCCTGAAGCTATTTCTGTTGGGAGGACAACTCTGGTGCTCTTGTAAATTAAAAAGTGGATGTATCCATAGATTCTTTCTTATAAATACACTAAAATCGGGTTTTGCTTGGTTGTGGTTTCTGTCCGGTATAGTCTAAGGCTTAAGAAATGAAGACAGAAGATCTTAGCATTAATCTTATGTGTGCTACTCTTCTTCCAACTGAAATGAGCAGCTGTCAACCAAAAGCCTGACTTAGAATTCTTTTTACCATCTTACACTGTTTACTCTAAAACCAGGGATGGGGGTGAGGAGCTATTTTTGGTGTTTTAAAAATAATAACTTTGGGGGCACTTGGGTGGCTTAGTTGGTTAAGCATCTGACTCTTGATTTCAGCTCAGGTCCTGATCTCAGGGTCATGAGATCGAGCCTTGCATCGGGTTCCACGCTGCGCATGTAGCTGGCTTGAGATTCTTTCTCTTCCTCTCCCTCTCCCCTCCCTGCTCTCTTTCTCAAAAATTAGTAACTCTTGAGAATAATTCAGTGCTCCAAAGAATTAAAATATATTGCTCCTTGAATGTGAATTCACAGGACTAAACATCCTTTTTATACCTTAGAGTTAGTTTCCTGTCTTTGAACCTTCATAAATATCGGATTAAGCTATCAGTTGTTTGCTCTGAATCTTTGGGAGAATAATTCCATTTTCTGTGCTTTAGTGTCCTCTTAGGTCCGGTGGGAATGTAGTAGTACCAATCACCTAGGCTTTTAGGTAGGATTAAATAAATAGTTCATGGAAAGCACTTTGCATAATGCCTGGCACGTAATAATCATGGAGTAAATGGTTGCTGCTTTTGCTGCCAATATTATCTTCAATTTCAGAATCTTATTTTATTCCATTGCTTTTCTCAGGTATGTGCCCATTGAAGATCTGCTGGAGATTTATAAGAAACTCTATGGCCGAGAAGTAATCACCAAAAATGCAATTATTGACTGTTCATACCTTCAGTTCTTGGAAATGTAGGTGTGACCCAGAGAAAACTTTGTAGTTGACTTGAGTGTGACGTCTTAGTGCACTTGCTGACATTTTAGTCTCCCGAGTTGGATTTTGGGTTTCTGGATTTTTGCTTTTTTCAAAGGCAGTTGCATCATGGTAGATATATGTAGATGGAGCTTGGTTTTTATTTGCTTCACTTCTTTGTACAAACACAACTCAACAGGCAAAATTTTTGTTCATGTTGCAGGTATGGTGAGATGTTAGCTATTTCCAAGGTAAAGGCTTCATTCTTCAAAATCTTCATTTAAAGGATTATAAAGTTACCAGAAAAAGCACTTATTAATGAGTTTTCTTTTTCTGTGCCATAGCTTTATTCCACTTACTCCAGAAAGTCTCCATTTTTGGTGGAACAATTCCAAGAATATTTCCTGGGGGGACTGGATGACATGGCTTTTTGGTCCACTAATATTTACCGTCTGACGAGCTTCATGTTAGAGAACGGGACCAGGTGAGACCCTGCCCCACTTCCTCTACCACTCACTCCTGCCCTGTCCCTCCCTCTCCTGGTGCCGCTGTCAGGTTTTCACTTGATCAGATGAAAAGGTCTCACGAAGTGCCAGCCTCTCCTAACCAAGGAGGATGTCCTTTTTAATAGGTTGGGTTTGTCTCTAGCTGAAACTGTTTATCTCTCCTTCTATTCTGAATGACAGCCTTGCTGGATAGAGCATTCTTGGCTGCAGATTTTTCCCATTCAGCACTTTGAAAGACCCTCTTGCTTTCAGTTTCTGCAGAAAAATTAGCTGATAGCCTGACAGGGTATGGTATGTAACTGTCGTCTTTTCTCTTGCTGCTTTTTAAAATTGTTTCTTTATCATGACTTTTTGCCATTTTAATTATTATGTGTCTTGGTGTGGATCTTCTTGAGTTTTGGGGGGATATCTCTGTGCCTCCTGCATTTCAATATCTGTTTCCTTCCTCACATTAGGGAAGTTTTCAGCTATTATTTCTTCAAAGAAATTTTCTGCCACCCCCCCCTTCTCTCTCCTACTGGGATCCCTATAATGAGGATGTCGTTATGTTTGATGGAGCCACTGAGTTCCCTAAGTCCATTCTTGTTTTGCATAATTCTTTTTCTCTCACCTGCTCAGCTTGATTACTTTATTACTCTGTCTTCACCCTATGTCTTTTGATTGGAGCATTTAGTCCG